TATTGATGATAGGAGTTTTTGCCTATCTGTTAGGAAAAAAGAAAAAAAAATTAAGGAATTAATTAACCTGAATTAGGTAGTAAATTATTTTTTCTTTTCTTTCTAGATTCATCATGGTTTTGTGACAATGTTCTTTTATTAGTTATGATTTTTCTTTCTTCTTGGTAAATTTCATAGGTAATCCTTTCTTTTCTTAGATAAACTTCCAGTATCATTTATTTTGAAAATGTAAGGAGCAATTTTTTCACCTTGCTCTTTCAAGATACCTCTAATAGAGCTGTAATTTTTGAGTTCCATAGTAGATCTGATGTAAATTAGCTTCATATTAACTATTTTTACCTAGATAAATATCATGATCACATTACATTGTAATACAATTGTGATTAAATCAAATAAAATTTTTTTTGTGAAATGGGATGGTAAAATGATCGTCGGAAATATTTGCCGGAAAAAACTAGTATCAAATATTATTTTTTTTTCTCTGTCATATATATAACAATTAGATCAAATAAAAATGTCTGAAAATAACATAGTTCGTCAAAGACAAGGCGGACATACCGAAGAAAACGAAGAAAATAACTTTAGCATAGAAGATAACAATGACATTAAAAAGGTAAAAAGCTTGGAACAATTTTTACCCTTTTTTTTAATCTTGTAATCCTCAAGCGCATTTTTTTTTGTCTAGGAAATTCCAATTAAAAAACGAGTAAAAGACGAGATCAGGAGAACACTAGTAGGTATTTGGCAAAGAGCAGTTAATTGAGTCAGGTTAAAATTTGCTCGGTTTGTCTTATTTTTTCGTTAATATCTACTAATGAACAATTAACCTCTCTGATTAGTTCAAAAGGGCATTCTTGGAGAACTATCCTTCAAATAATATATTGTTAATTTTAACTATACTTTCATTTATAACTCGTTTTTGGAATATAAATTATCCAACACAAGTGGTGTTAGTTATTTTTTATTGTCATTAAATTTTTTTTAAAAAAATTTATTAACAATATGTGTTTACATGTCTTTAGTTTTGATGAAGTGCATTTTGGCAAATTTGCCAGTTATTACTTAAAAAGATCCTATTTCTTTGATGTTCATCCACCACTTGCAAAACTTATGCTAGCAGCAATGGGATGGCTACTTAATTTTGATGGACACTTTGAATTTGATAATATTGGAGATGATTATATAACAAACAATGTACCATATATAGGATTAAGAGGTTTACCTGCAACATTGGGTGCCCTCTTTGTTCCGTTGACATATATCATCTTGATTGAATCAGGTTATCCAGTAGTGACAGCAACTTTTGCAGCTGGATTAGTTCTTTTTGGCAAGCAATCATTTTATCATATTTATATACATATATATTTATAGTTGTTTATTTTTGTTCATAGTAATTATTAGTGTTATATATTTTTTCAAGACACAAATAATCTCATAAAGTTGGCTTCATATAGACAACGCACTGATTTGTCAGACACGATTGATTCTTCTTGACTCGATGCTTGTATTTTTTATGCTTTGCACTTTTTACTCTTATATACGTTTTTATAAACTACACTTGAGGTAATCATTTAATCAATCTATTTGTTGTTTACATAATTAGAGAATATGTTTATATTTACATATATATAATTTAAAACATTCTATATTGTTAAATCTTTAGAGAGTATTCTAATGAATGGTGGCTTTGGATGATCACAACTGGGTTTTTTTTGGGTTTAACATTAAGGTAAATTATTGATCAAAGTTTCAATATTACAATTTGATTATTCCAAGTGATTTAATTTTTTTGTCCTGAAATATTTTTACAGTGTTAAAATGGTTGGATTTTTTACAGTTCTTACAATTGGCACTGCAGTTTTAATTGATTTATGGGATTTATTAGATATACATCGTGGATTAACTATGGTACACCTTTGAAAAAAAATTTTATTCTATATTTATTATTGCTATGTATTTTGGGAGGGCAGGTTTTGTTTAAAAAACCAAATTATATTGATTGTTTAATAACTAATTCAAGTCCAACAGGCACAATTTAAAAAACATTTTTTTTCACGTGCAGCTGGCCTTATAATTGTACCAATTTCTGTTTATTTATTTTGGTTCTATGTTCATTTTGCTATCTTGAATACAAGTGGTACTGGTGATAATTTTATGAGCCCTGCTTTTCAGGAAACCTTGCATGGAAATTTAATGTCTACTCAAAGTTTTGGTAATTATATATATCTATTTCCTGTTATAATTATATAAATATTGATACAAGTATATTCATCTATATAAATAATATATTGTATTATTAGATATTAAATACAATGATACTATAACTATAAAGCATAAAGATACTTCAGTATTTTTGCATTCCCATACAGAACGTTATCCATTACGTTATGATGATGGTCGTGTTAGCAGCAAAGGTCAACAGGTGACAGGTTATCCACATAATGACACAAACAATCATTGGCGAATTAAAACACCAGGATCTTTATTTGATTCATCAAGACCAGAAAATGACACAATCAAACATGGTGATTTTATTATTTTAGAACATGTTGGCACTCAATCTTATCTTTTAACTCATGATGTTGCTAGTCCATTAATGCCTACGAATCAGGAATTCACCACTATTGAGCCCAACGACACAGCTCGTTTTAATGATACACTTTTCCAAGTTTTTACTAAAGATGGTGATAAAGAATCTGTTATAAAAACCAAGTCAAGTTTTTTTCGCTTAATTCATTTTAATACTAAAGTTGCACTTTGGACACATGAATCTAAATTGCCTGAATGGGCATTTGGACAACAAGAGGTTAATGGTAATAAGAAAAATACAGACAAGTCTAATTATTGGTTTGTAGATGAGATTATTGGCTTAAATGGTAATAAATATTTGAAATTTTATTTTGGTTCATTTATTTATACATAATTATTTATATTATTTATTTGTTTTATTTTGTTGATTTTTTTTTTTTGGTTAGTAACAATTCCAAAGGAACCTAAAAAACCAACTAGACAATTATCTTTCCTTCGTAAATTTTTTGAACTTCAAAATCTCATGATAAGTCATAATGCTGGATTAACAAAACCTCATCCTTATTCCAGTGGCCCAATCAATTGGCCATTTTTAATACGTGGTATTTCATTTTGGACAAATAGTGACACTAAGGAACAAATATACTTAATTGGAAATCTAGTTGGATGGTGGATTGCAATTGGTTTAATGTCTGTTCTTGTTGGTGTTTTAGCAGCTGATATGCTTTCAAGAAGACGTGGTACAGATCCTATTCCAAAACGTAAGTATTTTATTATAATTAAATATGTATATATATATATATATATATATATATATAATTTAACTTAGATTATTATGATCATTATCATTATAGCTGTTCGTAATCGTTTATATAATTCTGGAGGATTCTTTTTTATGGCATGGATGTTTCATTACTTTCCATTTTTTTTAATGGGAAGATCGTTATTCTTACATCATTATTTGCCAGCTTTGCTGTGTAGTTATTTAACATCGGGAGTAGTGTTTAATTTTATGTTTGTTGAATCTATAAATTATCCAATTTCCATTCCAATTCCATCAAGATCAAAACATACATATCTATTAAGTGCTAAAGTTGACGTCATTACAATAGCAATAGCAGCTTTGGCTTTGATTTTGGATGCAAGTATTTTTTTTTATTTGGCTCCAATTACATATGGTACACCAGGTTTAAGTCCTGAGGAAGTTTATTATAGAAGATTATTAGATACTTGGGATTTACATTTTCAACCAAAATTATAAAAATTATACAAGATTATATACTATATGTTTATATACTTATATTAGGATTGATTGATTGATTTTAATAATTTAATTTCATTATGCAATAATCAATCTATTTATTATGTAATCTATAAACTCATATTTTTATTAAAAAAATATTTGAAAATTAATAAGAAAATGATGATTTTTACCAAAAATTAAGACTATGAAATAACATCAAATGAATATATTCTATAATTAATAAACGTTGCAACAATAATAGACATTATAAAGACTTCATTTTTAAATATATATTTTTTAATTTGATTTCTTTTACAAAATGTCATCCCAAGTTTCATTTTGTTCAGCCTCGGGGTCACTTTCGGAGGGTTCACTGTCATCAATATCTTCGTCTTTATGTTTGTCAACACATTCTTTAAGGAAATTCAAAAATTTTAATTAATATATTGTCAAAAATAATTTAGATAGAAACAACAAAGAAAATTTATCATATCATCATTATAATATTTACTGATGCATCGAGCTTTTTCAGCGTTTTTTCTTTGGGCCTAAAAAAATTTAAAATAAAATGAATTAAATACACACACACATCTATTTATATATATAAATGTATACGATGCTATAATTACTTTTGCAAATTGACTTAAAGGCTTTTCACGTGTACAAACCATACAAGTCAAATTTTCATTTTGTTGAGGAGTACATTGTTTACACATTGTATGATGTTTTTTAATTGTTTTACCACGAGGTGCATAGGCTTTATAGTTACGTGTATTATTATTATTATCATTATTACTTATCATCAAAAAAAAAGACATTTAAAAATATAAAAATAAAAGAAATTCTTACGATTATGTATGTTTGACATGACTTTAGTAATCTGTGTTTTGGAAAATGATTGAATCTGCTTATCTTTTTGACAACCATAACAAAAAAGAGTTTTTGGAGCTTTTGGTCCTTGTGAGTTAGCACCAGCAGCAGAATGACTACTATTTTCAAATGAATTCATTGTATAATCAAAGTTTTATTTATTGAAGATAGATATAATTGCGCGTCAGTTATTAAAAATCGCGATAAGCCTAGGGGGCGCGTCATTATTAATGTGTTTAACGTTGCACAACATGTTTTCAAAAACGGCGGAGAGTTCAATAAGAAAAAGGAAAAGCTGTCGGAAATCAACTAACAGATAATCGAACTAAAACAATGAACAAAGAAAACCACTCCAGAATGATCAAGAGATAACCTGGAAGGAGAATTATCGGATAAATATAAAAGAAAACATCCATGTACATATACAATAGATGAGCGGGATACATCATGCAGAAGTTATATAGAATATATGGAATCTCAAGAACTTGTGGAAAATACTTGGAAGAAAAAGTATTGCTGATTGGAATTCCACGAGTTTTCAATAGAGAAAGAAATAATAATAATAATAATAGAATCAAATAAATCAAATGAAGAATGTATACGAGAGAAAAGATATATCCAGCAAGGATTCAGTGAAAATTTGAAGAATATTCAAAGACATCCACAAAAAAGAAAAAGTAAACAAAAGAAGAAAACAAAATCGAGATGCACAAAAGGCTTTTAAAAACAGGAAGGAAGGAAGAATACATTTTGCAAAATGGAAAAACAGTTGATATTGAAAAATACAAAGAAACGCTAAAAGATTATAAAAATCTAGAGGATAACCAAATTCAAAGAAAAAAGAATCCAGAAAACAAACTAAAACTCAAGATAAGATAACCCAGACGGAAGAAAAACTTATACTAAAGAAAGTTAATTGGAGAAAATAATTGAAAAAAAGGACGAGAGAAAAATATCAATGAATGATAATCAAATGTTGATTTTATATTATTATAAATAAGAGGACTTTTCCCTCTACTCTACATTCAACGATGTTGAATTCTTAATATTTTGCTTTTATATATTATAAATCAATGTATTAAATAACCAATTCATTAAATAAATAAACTATTTTACCATGGTTATTCGAGTTTTTACATCACTGACTAATGTTAGTCAATAATAATAAATAAGATCTTAAATTTCATTTAGTGAATTCAAAACTTAACTTTTATTTTTTTCTACATGATCATCAAAGAAGAGGAGACAGGCGACTATTATTGTTGTTGTTGCTGTTGTTGTTTTTGTTGATATTAGAGGTTGATGCTATCAATCTTGGTGTTTACAAATTTTTATTTAACTAGAATAAAAAACATAATCTATATGAAATAAATATGGATAATGCTGCGCTAGAGAGTTACTTTTTTTCTTTTGGGTAAGCTTGGCGATGCAAATCCTTATTCGAATTAATTTCCTTAATCGAATCAATTTTCTTAATCGAATTACATATGTAAACTCGATAAGTCGGTCACTCGATAAGTCGGCCAAAATTTTCACCCCATTTTCTTAATATTTAAGTAATTTAATTCGATAAGTCGGTTTACTCG